GGAGGAGGAGGAGGAGGGATAAAATCTGAATCCTCGGGCAATGGCGGCGGCGGTGTCGGTGGGATGCCTACCTCCGCATACTCTTCAGATGGGGGCGGTGGCAAAAAATCATCGGTCAAAACGGAAGATGACTTCATTAAAATCGTTTGCTGAAAAACTGGTAATAATTTTTTATCAACCCCTAAATTTAAATTTATTCCAATTCCATGGCAGCTCAAATCAACAAAATCATTGACTTTTTTTAAATGCCACAAAAAAGATTTCCGCCAATTGGATTGCAATTTAATGTCAACTGGTGACAACATTTTCGAACTTTGCATTGGTGATACAAATACTCTTAACAGGCTCAATTTATTAAGTTACGGGATTTTATGTAAACCATCGAATTTTGTGAACACGCTACGGTTAGGCGAGAAACCGAGCAGATTTAAGCGAAAGTTGGATAATAATATTTCTCAATCAGAATCCTCGCTTGAATCCTCGCTTGAATCCTCGCTTGAATCCTCGCTTGACTCCTCGCTTGAATCTGTATTTCCACTTGAAGTTGAAGCTTGAGAGTCAAACCATGAATCTTCGGAAGAGGACGAAAAATCCGATACATCCGAACCACTTGATGCGGACGAAACCACATGGTTTGAATTCCCAGACTCAAAATCCGATACATCCGAACCACTTGATGCGGAAGAAACCACATGGTTTGAATTCCCAGACTCAAAATAGTCGATTGGATCGTCGAGAGACAGTTTTTTGATCCGCTTTTCTGTTTGAATCGCCTCGATTTCTGACTGTTGTATTTTGCAAATTTCTGCAGAACTAGAGCAAGTCTTATATTTGGAGAAAAGCGCTTTGTTGATTTTAAAAAAGGTAGGCCCCCATCTGAATTTGCTCATCACCAAATCTCCGACACCATCAAAACCGCATATGAAGCAGCAAGCCGCGAAGGCTTCGGCGCAATTGAGATTGCATGGTTTTCCATAATTTACAGAGTTCGAGGCGATAAGGAAAGGAACTACAATAAAAATCGTCGCTCACATACGCAAACGTTGGTTCTGTTTGGAAAACAAGTGAAAAGGCACGGCATCGAGTTGGGCCCAGGAGCAGTCAACCACTGCAATCCCGTGCTTGGCTATAATATCATTATCCGCTGGAGATACAGCTTGGCTTCCCGAGGGACTATAGATAAAAGCACCAAAATTGTACGTTAGGATGATTCCCTTAAACGAGGCCATATGGGCTTTTTTCAATTCACGAACCATATTAAGCCTGACCAATTTCCTACCGGAGCATTTGTTTGGATCGCATTGGCCAAAATCCTAAAATGGTAATTTAAGCAGAAACCAACCCACATTGCTAGCGTGAATGGAATATGTGGCAAAGTGGCTTCTTTGCAGTGGCGTTGCGAGGAATTAGTACAATCTTTATGCTCCTTTTTCATTTAAAAAATAATTTAAAAGTTGTCCGCAATGATTTTTTTTCATTAAATTCCAACCCAATTTATCTATACAAGATTTAATCCAAAGCTGATCATTGGTCATTTTGATTTAACCATTGATCAATTGGATCAAT